AAAAAAAAAAAAAAAAGGTCAGGCAATACAAAAAAATACGCGTTTATTTTAATAAATTAGATGTCACAATAGTATTAAAAAAGCTTAAAGACAACTGTGAAAGGCATCTATAAAGAAATAGTCTTATGCAAATTCATTTTTCACAGTCAACATCAACAACATTTTTGTCATTACTCCAACACGTATAGTTTGCTGTTTGTAGTTTGGTATTAGCATCAATTTTTCCTGCCCGGGGTCTGAACTTATTTCTGAAAGTTAGAATCAATTGCTAAACCTTATTTGCTTATCTCTTACTCTACCTACAGAAGAGATCTGAAACAGCTGCAAATTTTCAGAAATTCCTCACTTGTAGGGGCATCTCCAGCAATTGTGGAGCCAAAAGACACTTCCTGCTCACTCCAGCTTTCAACTTAGAGTTTGGTGGCAAAAGAAGGACAAAGAAAAGAAGCCGAAACATGCTGTACTCTAGCTATAACCATACAGGATATTAATCAGACATCATATCCAACTGGTACCTATTAGTGGTGCCAGTGAACGAAGTCTGCCAGATACAGCTAAGAAAATGCAATTCTGATTCCCAGTTGGATGCAATTTTCCTCTCAAAGAAATCCATGCATTGGACACTGGATTGAAATGTTACAGGCTTGTGTTGCTCAATCCCAAGAAGCATTAAAATGAAAACTTATCAATGTGCTTAGACCTTCACCCCTAAAAACATGCTCTCTTCCTATTCTGTGTGTACAGGATGACAAAAAGATAGTAACTATGGCTACTATGGCTACCACCAGTAACTCCTACCATGACAGATGCGGACATACATAGTGCCAGATCAAAGATCAAGTCTACGGGGAAAGGAAGAACAAATAAAGACGTGTTTTCTAACTGTGTTACAACTAAAATTTAGATGTTATTTCCTAAGCAAAAGATCTTTCCCCGAGTTCTCTAAGGAGCATCAAGTCAGAAACTAAATGTTCTCTTTACAAGACTAGCAGGTGAAACCCTTTGCCCAAAATGTTTGAAGAAAGTGGCTTTCTGGCCATTTTTTAAACCTTCACTGACTGCAATTACGTTAGTATTTCACTTACTGATCGTCTCTTTTACAGCAGTTTCCAATTCCCTCTCTTTTTGAGCCAGCTGAGTATTGAACTCTCTCATTAACTGCTTTAAGGTGGAGTTGTGCTTTAATTCAATGTCTTCTTGTTCACACCTGTACAAAATATCAAAAAATACACCGAAAAAATGAAAATGTTTAAAGACAGTGTGGCGAGGTAGGTCGTCTGGGAATTTCTCCAAAACTATTTTAGAATGGGCTGGCTTTGAAGGTGGTAATATTATGTGAATCCTGTGGGGTTTCTGTCCACCTTCCTCCCTTCAACCTTCCTCCTCCACCCCATCAAATTCATCTGCAAGACAGGCATTTCATTAAAAAAAAATCTGTTTTTTTTTTAAACAACAAAGACAAAGAATTGGAAGTAAAGAACAGAAGCGGAGTTCTTAGAGAATACCTTACTTGAGAAACTATTATTGCTCTGAAGAGCATACTACATTTTTTGCAGTACCTATGAAAAATTCTAAATTTTCAATGGATTCTGAGATAACTTAGAGGGTAGGGACCTGACACTAACTTTTAACAAATTCAATACTAACTTCTAACATACTTCAGTTCCTGGTTGAGGAAAATAAAACCGTATTTAATATTCTGGTAATATAGAAAAATCACCATCACTACCACAATGTAAATCAAGAGCAATGCACAGTATTTTAAGGAAAAAAAAAACTTTTTAAACTTATGACCTAAAAACTGTGTTACATGTTCATGAATGAAGTGCTAGTTTCAAATTGCTCTTTTCTTGCTGTTTGTTTTTAAGCAAACCCATTTACGAAATCAGAGAAAAATAGCAATCCTTATCTCATTGTTACAATCCAAGTTTTAAAAAGAGTAGTCATCCTCAGATTTAAGTGGCTAAAAATAAAGCAAAGCAATATTAACAAGACAAGGAAGATTTACCTGATTTTCTCCTCCATTTCTTCTAAGGACTCCTTCTTAACTATGTCAAGTTCCTGCTGATGCTCTTTTCGCAGAGTACGCAGGTCTTTCTGAAGACTATTCACATCTTTGCGTAGTTTCTGTTTCTCCCTTTCAGAGTCCTCCAGTTTATTTTGCAAGTCCTTCTGCTGGGTCTGCATATCACCCAGTAACTTCTGCAGCTCTAAATCAGATCTAGTCTTTTCTTCAGCACTTTCTTCAAAAGCTTTCAGGTGGTCATTTCTTTCATCCAACTGCTGCTGCAAACTTTTTAGTTTTTCTTCATATCTCAAACTTGTATCTTCCAGCTCAGTCTTGTGCACTTCCTTTTCCTTCATTAGATTGTTTTCCAACTCTCTTATCTTCTCTTCTAAAGATTGACTGGATGCCTCCTTTTCCTGCAATCTTTTCTGGAAACCTCCAGTTACAGTCTCCATATCAAGATGTTTTTGTTCTTTCGCTTTTAATTCCTCCCTACTGCTTGCTAACTCATCCACTAACACTGAGCATTTTTTAGTTTGCTCCTCAAGTTCTTTCCTGAGGCTTTCGGTCAAACGTTGTTCCTCTTGAAGTCTCTTCTCAACACATGCCAGTTTTCCGAACAGTTCTTCCTGTTTGCTTTGCAGTTCTAGATGAGAGTCATTCCTCTCTCTTTGTTCCTTTTCATACTTCTGCAATAATTCATCTTTTTCAGATAAGTCCTTCTGTAACACATGTATTTTCTCTTCATAAGTCTGTCGGACACTCTCAAGCATTTTATCCTTTTCTTGTTCTACAGCAGCTTTTACACTCTCTACTTTTTGCAGCATTTCCTCCTCTAATTCTGTGGAATCTCTTGTTGACTTGATTTTTAGTTCCAAGGTCTCAATCTTGGCTTCTCTTTCCTGCACTCTTTGTTCCAAGTTTCTTAACTGATTTTCTCTATCTTGCTTAAGTTGCTGTTCCTTTTCTTCCATTTGAGACATCAATTGCTTTTTAATAGAACCAATCTTTTGCTCTGCCTTCTTCTTCAGATCTGCTAACTTAGCGCTGTTTTCTGCATTCAGTCTCTCTTCTAATCCTTTCAGCTCTTCCTCTTTGCTTTTAAGTATCACTGATTTAATTCGTTCAAATTCCCTTTCCTTTGCTTCAAATTCAGCCTCCAATGAACTTATTTTCTTTTCAAGATTAAGCACTTTTTCTTCAGCCTCCTTAAACCTATTGTCCTTTTCAGAAGCCATCTCCTCTGCCTGCTGGAGTTGCCAAGCGATCTCTTTTTGCTCTGTGTCGTTTTGTTCATTATACTTTTGAAGTTCCTCCATCAAGGAATTGTTTTCGGAAGTTTTCTGAGCAATGTGTTCTTCTAGTTCAGCAATTCTTGCTGCTTGGATTTTTAACTCTGCGGTCAACTCACTCTCTTGCTTTTCCCTCTGGTTCTGCCTTTGTTCCCATGCACTTTTTAAACTATCCACATTCTTGCTTTGTTTAGCCAGCTCCTCCTTCAGTTTATTTAGCTCGTCATCTTTTTCACTAGCTTGGGTATTGCTTAGTACAAGTTTGCTCTGCAAATCTTTAATAGTATCGTGATTTTGTGTAAACCTTGTTTGTGCTTTCCTCTTCCACTCTGAGAGTCTGGTCATCCACTGATCCGCCTGCTCAAGAGCTGATGCTTTTTCTTGACTCAGTGTCTCAACTCTGGACGATAACTCTTGTACCTGCTTTAACAATTGCACCTGACTCTCTTGATGCTGCTCGCGTAACATGGCTGCTTCTTTCTCAGTTACACTTACCATGTTTTCAAGTCTAACGTTAAGCTCATTAACCGTTTTGTTGAGAGCAGAAATTTCAGATTCTTTTTCCTGGAGTTCTTCTTTCATTGAGGTGACAGCATTGATATTTTCTGATAACTCTTTCCTCAGCTGTGTTATGCAAGTTTCTTTTTCTGATGCTGCTTGCTGCTGATGCCCTCCTTCTTTTTGCAGTTGTTCCTTTTCTGTTACAAGTCCTTCAATGTCAGCTCTCAGGGACATGATTAAACTGTCTTTCTCTTGCAGCTGTTGCATTGACTTTTGTAAAGAACTACTTAGAGCAGAATGATGCTCTGTAGCTTCTTTAAGTTGAGCTTCTAGTTCGGGAATCTTACCCCTTTTAATTAATATGGCTTCTTTAATTTTTGCAGTTCGGTATTCACAATCTGCAATTTTGCATGCTACTGTGCCAATTTTTTCATTACATTTTTCAATTAATTCATTGCTTTTTGTTTGTAATAGAGCTTCAGCATTCTTCCAATAAGCATCTAACTGCGCTACAAGTTCTCCTGACAACCTCTTAAACTCGGTTTCTTTCAGTTGAATCGCCTCTATTTTTTTCTCATAATTTTCATGATCTTTACATTGAGAAGACTGCACAGTTTGGAGTTTCTCCTCAAGGGTTTTCAGCGTATCTGTAAGATCACTTATTTTAGCTTTGTCCTTTTCTTCTACTGCTTTCTGATTGCTAAGCTGTTCCTGAAGTACTGAGTGGTCTTTCTTAGACTGACTAAGATCACCTTCCAGTTTTCTGAGCTGTGTTTTCAGGTCACTTTCACTATTTGACAAAACATCCACCTTGGCCAATGACTGCTTTAGTCGTTCTTGCACTTCGTTCAGGGACTCCTCCCTCTTCATCTGTTCTTCCTTCAGTCGGGTTATTTCGGTTCTGGAGCCCTCGTTCTCAGCACTGAGGGTGGCAAGTTTCTGTTTCAGGTCTCCAACTTCCTGCTCTTTCTCCTGTAGTTCCAGTTCGTGTTTTTCCTGGAGCTCTTCAACCTGCTGATTGAGTTTCTTTTCCCAAATCTGGGTGATTTCCTCTAACTCCCTCTTATGAACCTTAGCCAGACTTTCTAATTGCTCTTTCTGATTAGATTCCAGTTTTGACACAGCATCACTGATTCCAGCTGAGCTGGCATGTGCCATTTCCAACATTTTAGCATTGAACTCGCTCTCTTTCTGACTGAACTCCAACTGCTTGTTTTCGAGTTCTTTTTTTAGTTTAGCTTCCTGCTCAGTAAGTTTCTTTTTGAAAGTCTCCTGCATCTCTTTTGCTCTCTGTTTAACTTTGTCCATCTTGTTTTCCTGATGTTTCAGTTTATTTTCATATTCTCCTTGTAAAGCACTAATTCTCTCCTCTTTGGCTGACAATTTCTGTTTAAGCTCTTCCACTTGTTCACTCTGTGACTTTCTCATGTGTTCAATTTCATCTTCCTTCTCAGACAGAGTCCTCTTTGTCTGATCAGCCTCTCTTTCTAGATCCTTCAATTGAGATTCATACTGTTGTGTTAGAGAGGTTACTTTTTGTGTATTTTCATTGCTCTGCTCTTGCAGATGCTGCCTCAGGTCACGTACCTGAGAGATGTATGATTCTAACTCATTCTTAACTTCATTCAGCTGGGATTCAGTTCTTAATATCTGCTCATTAAGTTGCAATTTTTCACCTTCCAGACCTGTCAGTTTTTGCTGCAGCTTTGCTAATTCCTCTTCATAAATCTTTGCCTGCTCCCTAGCAGTATTCTGATGGGACTGAGAGAGCTCCTCTAGCTTTGCAGACGCTTGGACAAATTCACTTTCAGATCTTTCCACAGATTCCTTTAGTTTCTGTTCATGGGCTTTTACTTCCTCCAGCTGTCTGTCTTTTTCCTCCAATGATTGCTTGAGCTGGTTCAGTTCCTCCGTGAGTACCTTCTCAACTCCTTGAATAGAAATTTCATGCTCTTTTAACATCATTTCAATTTCTTCCTTGTGCCGGTTCCTCTGTTCTTCTAACTTTGTCTCCAATTCTTGCTTTGCTTCACCTACTTCACTTTTCAGTACTGAGAGCTCTTGTTCTAAATCATGGCGTATTTTTAATGCTTCTGATAGCTCAGAAGACAGTGCTTCTAGCTCTGTTTGTTTCACATCAAGTTTTTCTAACGTTTTTTCATTCATCTCTTCTATATGTGTACGGAAAACTGTTTCTTTCTCTTTCAGTATTGCATCTATTTCTTGTTCTTGTTTCGCTCTCATTTTTTCTATCTCAGTTACTTGTTGTTGCTTGAGGATTTGAAGTTTTTCTGTCCAAAGCTTTTCCTGCTGCTGTTTCACATTTTCTAATTCTTCCTTGTGTTTTTCAACCATACAATTGATTTCTTCAGTGTGCTGGTTTTTTTCAGACTCCATCAGAGTGCTTAATTCTTCTGATCGTTTTCTGTCATCTTGTGAATACTTTGCAAGAGAGCTTTCCAATTCAAGAATCCTCTGTTAGAAAATAAAGTTTTAAATAAAAAAGTATGGATACTCAAAAAGTAAAGAACGGACCTAATTTAAAAAACTCACCAAATTCATATTAAAAAATTGCAGATACAGTGCTGTCATTTATTCTATTACTTACAATGAATATCAACTTTTTATATAAGCTTTTCATTTAACTAGACAGTTCTTAATTTTGCTTCCATTAACTTGAGCTAATTAATTAATAAAAGTTTCATATTTCAGTGCACTGAAAAGAGATACAATAAAAACCTGAAAAGAATTAAACTAATTAAAACAAAATAATTCAGATGAAATTTTATAAGAACAATTATGGGGCTTTATACATATCTAAAAATTTATTTCAATTCCACCTCACATGGAATTGCTACTGTAAGGTTAAAACCCTTCTACAGGCAAAGCTTCCAACTTAATATTTGGAAGCGGCCGAGTCATGTACATGCTTCCATTAGCAGGTAATAAAATCCTACCTGTGACAAAGTAAAAGATCTTTCAGAAATTAAGCAAGCTTTTTACTTACTCACGTATTCTTACAAGTGTTTGTATGGCAGCAGTATCCAGAAGTTAAAAAGATTAAAGCCTTACTTTCCTATATAATGTATAGAAAACTATCCATATGCATACAAACTTATATCCCACACCATGTACAAAGCAAGTAGACTTCTATATTTTACCATCTAATCATGTAAAAACCTAGGGCTGCAGCATACTATGGCAGTACATTAATTTCTGTCACTGCAAAAAGCATTGCAAGACTTCTTTAGAAACAAATCTAATCACAATAAATCCACAGTATTTGTGAACCTAACACAGTTAAATATACACTGAAAGGAATTTTTGAAAAATGTTTACCCTTCTAGAAGCTTTACTCACAGTTCTAAAAGTCTCTACTTCTTGATGCATCTCTTGAAGTTTCCTGTCACACTCTGACTGTATTGCTTTTTTCTGCAGCTCTAACTCTTCTAAGGCTAGGGCTTCCTGTTGCTCTTGTTCTTGCAGGGTTTTTAAACAGTCACTTTGACTCTTCTCCTGTATCAAAATTATGAATAAAACATCAAACTCCAGTTATCACATCTTCTAAAGCAGTATAACGGGATATTTACAAAGCAGTTAACAGGAGGTATACACTAATCGTCTATATTTTCTCCACATACAAACACACAGTTTGTATTATATTTGTGAAAATAAAATTATTACAGATCATTGCCATTTTTCTTTACTTTTTTTTTTTTTTACTTTAGTCTTCTACTTTTCTTTATACGACCAGTATAACACTACTGCAGTATTTCATTTTGGCTTGGATTACCACTATTAATTGAAAGCAACACCTCAGAGGAATAAAGATCTGTCCTCACTTGATTCTACGGATAATATATTTTTAAGCTTCTATTCCCTGTAATTAAAAAGAACCTTAAAAATAGGCAGAAGAATATGATGAGAATGGGACCATCAGGGTCACGCAGTCCTAGTCACCAACCACCAAAGAGGTCTTGAGCCCAAAAGAATATCTAATATTTGTTAGGTTAAACTGCCTGATGATCTAAGGCAGGCTACAGGTTACAGAGAAGGACAAAGAACCCTAATGGTCCCTGACAGCCTGATCTAGAAGAAAATTCTTCCCTAAGGTCAAAAAATACAAACAGGTAACACTGCCCACATAAGTTAACACACAACCACCAGTCAATAGGATTAATGCTTTTAGATAACAACCCTACTTATCTCCTTTTTCTAGTTGCTGAAACTAATCTCCAGTGATCCAGAGGAAAAAACTCAAATAGCAATGTTTAACACAAAGACAGTTAAAAAAAAAAAAAAATTCCCGCAACATACAGCTGTCAGTGGACAACTACTACAGTGATTAGTTATCTCTATTCAGCCTGGACCATTGCAGCTGCTCTCCTTTTTTGCTGCTGAAGCCTCTGAGCATCTTGACTTATGGAGGGCACCCATATCTTTGAGTGCAGAAGGATTCCCACTGTGGAATAGGGTCAGAGAGGACTTGAAATTACCATACCATTGAGAAATTTCTAGTCCAATCCCACACTTACAGAAGTGGCTTTCTACACGTTTTAGGGATACTTACAAGAGCGGCCTTCATCTGTTCCTGGAATTCCTTTTCTTGGGCCTGTAATCTCTCATCTAGCTCCTGATCTTTGGTAGCCATTTCTTTTTTATGGAATTTTTCTAGTTCGGCAACACGCTCTTCTGAAGACTTCTGTGGATCAAAGGCAAAAAAAACCCCTGACTTTCAAAATACTAAATAGTAAGAAAATACTTTGTGTTATTTCTTTATAAGAAAAGCAATGCAACAGTGAGGGACAACAGAACTGTCCTTCTGCTTCCTTTGAATGAGTAACAATTACTCCATGGGCTTAATATTAAGTCTTATCAGATGTTATTTACAAGCTTGAAGTTATTTATCTTCCTTCTCAACCCTTTCACAGGAAGAAATACCACTTTTTCTAAAAATTCTTCCACAAAGTTGAATTCAATGTCTTCAGTTTCACATCAGGATTTAAATGTAATAATAAATTGGAACAGCAACTTCTGTCTGTAGCTTTCCCTTATATTCTTAACAGTTTCACAAGCCAGAAGTTCAAAGGTTGATAGTCCTGCATACTGACTGCCCTTGAAGTCTCTCTTTACTTTTAGAAAATAATTTTATTAAACACTGTGAAACTAAGAATAATATTGTTCATTTTACAAAGTCTTTAATGCACTGATTTTAGATGTTTAGAGAAAAAAAAAAATCCATCTGGAGAATTTTCTGTCACTTTCAGCTTTAAGTAAATTCAGTTTTCTAGATAAATCTAGATAAAATTTCTAGATTTTCTAGATTAGTTCTGATAAATTAATATATTTTACAACTATAGTTCTAGTTGTAACTAAAAGATTAAAACCAATAAAATAGAGTGAGCTTCAGCTTTTACCTTCATAATCTCAACCACCTCTTGTTTCACTCTGGTTAACTCCTGTTGAAGATTTACCCTCTCTTCCTCACTTGCCTTTTCTACTGCTTTGATTTTTTCATCCATTTCTGCCTGCAGTTTTTTCCGGGCTTCCTCTGTCTTTTGGGCAATACTCAGAGCCTTCTCAAGCTCTTCAAAAGCTGCAAAGGAAAAAAAAAGATATATGATAGTCAAGAAATAGCTATAAATAGCTATGCTTCTTGATACAAGTACAGGATTTCCCAGTAACTGTAAATTACACACCTAGCAGCAGAATGAACCTAGGAATCCATCAAGAATTCACATGGATTTATTATCTAGAAAGGCAAGAGATCTCACAAGTAGCTGCACATCCTTTGGTTACTTTTAGAATCCAGTACATTATGTAGCTCCTATTTCTTCCCGTAAGTTCGCATTAAAATACATAAACCATATAAATAAAACTACGGCTCCTCTTCTGGCTTTCTGCGCTGAATAACTTGGAAGATCAGAGAAAAGCTGCATGAAGAGAAGGCAATTCACAAATTCTTCTTCCACTAAAGTTCACTAGAGTTAAGACTGCCTGCACTGCAAGTCAGTCTTTCCTGCATCATGAAAGAGTTCCTCCTGAATAGAATGCCACTGTGCAAATACCAGGGCATTTTATTTACCCACGGGTTGCTCCATTCAGACAGTACAACATTGAGAAATTTTTCTTTAGAACTGTGTGTCTGGTGCACTCTGTATCGATAGCTTTTGCTAATTTCATCATTTCACTATTTACTTTTAATACAAGCTACTATCAAAACAATTCAGAGAGACGTTGAAGCAATGGTTTTGCGTTACAAAGACTGTCCTGGTGCTTCTAAACTTTGCAAGTAAAACATAAGAAAAAAACCATTAACGATTGCTCTCAGAAAGCTTGAATATCCATAGTATGTTTCAGAGGAACACTCAGCATGGAGTAACAGAATAGTTATTTACGTTTGCACAAGATGCACAACTCTGCTGAAACACATTTTAACTTATGGAGTGGGAGCAATAACGCCACAGATGCTTTTTATCATAGGCCTAAGTACTCTAACATATTTTCTTCCCTTCACAGATAATCATTTAGATAAAGAAAGCAAGAAAATTAATTTGTCTTGGGAGCTGTATTATTATTACTCAGTAACAGCTGCCAAGTTTCTCACTGAAACCGACGGCAGAATCTACACAGATTGACACAGGTGTAGAATTCGATCACTAATCAGGAAGTCCCTTTTCCTAAATACATCAGGAATATGGAAAGCGTCTGCTGCATGTGAGAGAAAATCCAGTCTCAAAATATGTATGGCTAATTTTGGGGTGGGGGGGGAAGAAAAACACTTTGGCAAAGCACTTCTGTAAAATTCAAAATCATAGTGCAAATATCAAAAGGATCTGATTTATCAGAATATAGAAGAATAAAACTATATTTCAGCTATACTTTGGACTGGCTGGATACTACTCTGGGAGCAGAGAGAACACAGTCTTATTATTTTTTTTTTTTTAAAATGTTAGCATGTTAGCTTTTCTTCCACTTAATCCTGTCGCAGAAAGGAAATCAAAATAGACACACGCATCTCTAGCTTCCCTGATTCACCGTCGCTTAAGCAGGCATTCACAGTAACTCTTGTAATCCTTGGGGAAGGTTTCGGGGAAATAAATATAAACTGTTAGCCGTCTCTAATAACATTCAGGCACGGGTTTGAAAAGCACAAATAATTTCCATTCCAAATCTTCTGATAACGTCTGAAACTGAAGCTTTTAGCTATAATCTACACTTCTGAGCCAAGGCTGCAAGTACTGCTTTTTCAAGTAACCTAATTCCCTTAAGTTGCAGTCCCCCAAATTCCAACCTTTCGGAGGGGATTTCTGAGGGAGCCTTTCTCTGACTCCTGGCAGCGATAGTTTCAGCAAAAAAGAGGGTGTTTTTTTTGACCCGGACAGTATTGAAGCACATTATTGTATCCATTTTTGCAGTCCCCATCCTCCTTAAATACTAAAACCCAAAACTCATTATAAAAGGTTAAAAACTAGTACTAGAGATTATTGCAAACAGAAAAACAGTCTGAAACACAATGCGAGCAGGCATTAAGGCTTAACAGCCCCTTACAAGGGGTAGCTACTGCGTTTCCAAGGGCCGCTC